CACGGAGCAGACCTCGGAGGAAAGGCGGCAGCCCTCTACACCCATCCATCGGGACCGAAACACGACTGCCTTCAGCAACATTGAAGCACTTCCTGCACGGGGTACAAAGATCGTTGATTTTCCAATCATGTCACGACACTTGTCGCCGTGATCGATGGGGCGCTGATTGCACGGGGCCTTGCCCATCGCGCGTCGTTGTCAAAAAGAGGAAGCACCTGTGCTGCAAGCTTGATGAAATACCCAGCTCGCTCTCCCGCGAGACACAAATCCTGAGTGAAGTCTGGCGAGGGCGCCGGGTGCATACTGAGACCGCCTTTAGCATAGCGATCAGCGGCTGCATTAGCAACAACAAAAACCTTCTCTTCACCTCCGAGGCACTGAATCTCGGCCTCGTCGCGGTGGGCCTCGACGCGCCTAATGGTCCGGATCAAGGCTGCGCCTTCCGCGAACGCACTCCGCAAATAGCGACGCTGCAGTGCTCAGCCATTGCTGGGGTCTGCGGCAGAACCCCTGGAACGATGCCCTTGACAATCGCGACGGGGTCCTCTCCTGCATCAGGGCATACTGCGACGGCCCAGGCCGCTCGCTGCAGCGGTCGAACACAAGGCTTCGTGCTCGAACCGCCCCAGGCTAAACGCAACGGAGCCCGGGAGGTGAGATCTGCAATCGTTTCGGGATCCAGATCTAGCGCGCTGTCATTCCCATCGCACAGAAAAACCTCACACGACACAGATGGGCACGGCAGCGCGCTGCCTCCATACACGAGCACCCCTCGTGTGAAGACGAGGTTGTCAGGATTATCGCGCGCAGCACTGAGGAAGGAGTCAGGAACCTCAGCGGCCCCTCGCGCCTCTACAACTCGCTGGAGCTGACAGGTAGATAACCTGTGGTGGACTGCGTCTGATCTCAACATTCTCACACAAGTACCCCGCCCGCATCGCGCGATCATTCGTCCGCAGTCCACCGCATGCGCAGCTCTTGACTAGATACTTTTGATAACGATTTAGCTCCCGAACTTTTGGCCCCACGGCATCACGAATCAGGTCGAGGGTAGCCCTGGTCCCAGGGGCAAAGCCAAGCTTCCGAGCAAAATCAAACTCTCGCTCTCTTTGCAGCCAAGCCTCCAACTGGCATGCTAAGAGCGCTGGGGGAGTGACAGACAGATCAACTTTAGACCACTGTTATCAATCCAGGACAGCGGACCCTCAGCTCGCCATCCTGCACGTCTTAAACTCAAGACAGCCCGAGAAATGGGCCCCTGGGACTTGTTCCACGAGGGGCGCCCAAGGGGCTCTGAGAACTCCCAAAGGAAAACATGCTGCGCACAGCGTGCAGCGGTGGCACCGAGGGGGGGGGAACTGCGAAACATAGCTGGGCGCGGGCAGCACTGATGCACTGCAAAGGCGGGGAGCGGCGGCGCTGCCACTCTGCATCTGCCGAAGTAAACTACCCCGCTGCCACCATTGTTGCCCAGAGACGAGCATTTGAAGGGCCAGCGAGGCCTCGGGTCTGCGAAAGGAGCCCAGGAACTTGGCTCGCCGCGCAACCGAGGAGCCACGCCGGGGAGGTCCGAGGGCGGCCAGGGGAGCTTTCGAGAGGGCATATAAGCACAATAAAGAATTTGCGCGGCTGCACAAAGAGGAGCACACGCCCCTCCGCAGCGGCAAACAGCGTGGCCACTAGGCTCAGCATGTCCAACGGGCCCGTTAGCAGGCCGATGTCACGCGCCCAGGAAGCCAATGCCCAGAATCTGCGTGCCGCTCGGGAACTTCAGAAACGCGCCGGGGACGCGGATGATCGGGCCCATGGCTATCGCCCAGGCCAGACCTGATGCAGCGCAACGCTGCGCCATTCCAGAGCCGAACACGATCGTGACGTAGAGCCCGCCGTTGAACTTGAAGTAGCTGGATGGTGCGAGGTGCACGGCATGGAAGGTTCAACAGGCGCAGGAAGACGGGGCTGGCGAAGACATGCTTGGAGACGGCAGCGACTGGCAGCCATCCTGCGCGGTGCTTCACGGCGTCGCAGCTGACGATGTACCTGTGGATGTTGTGTCCCTTGGGGCGGCCCTGCTGGGTGGTATGAGCGCGCTTTGTCACAGCGCTCTTGGCCACGATCATAGCAGCACCCGCGGTGGCTCTGATGTCCACGTTCTTCGGCGAGAGCGGGGGGATGTCCTCGGGGGCGCTGTCAATGGTGAACTCGCCCTGCACGTTACCGCTCACCAGCAGAGAGGCAAATTCGGAGCCGCTCAGAACGCGGACGTAGCACGGGCCCGAGCAGAGGAGGGAGGAGTGGTCTGCAAACGCGCCATGCGAGGCTTCGAGCGCGGGCCAGACGTGGTGCGGCAGATGTTCTGGCCCAGCAGCTGACGGTGGAGCGCTGCTCATGATGGGCTTGAACCGCGGACTGGGAGGCGACCGGATGACGATGGGGATGTCCTTCGGCATGTGCGTCTTGATGTAGCCGGTGTCCCTGGCAATGTCAGGATGTTTCGCGTTGGAGATGGTTGCCAGCGGGCGCGTAGCACAGCACCGATGATCTCGATGGCGGGGCGCGCCAGCTCGGCTTGGCAGGCGAGGGCATTCGCGCAGACGCGGTCGACCTTCGCGGCATCAAGCAGCGGCAGGGAGCAGACGGCGAAGCACGGGACGTAGGAGATGAAGGGAAGACGGCCTGCTCGACAAGCGGCAGGCGCGGCTTGATCCCGATGACGAGGGAGATGGTCGAGTGGATGCTGGCGCGGTCGTCCGAGAACAGCGTAGCGTCGCGTGTGCCCTTTGCGTTGACGGCGAGCCCGTCCGAGGTGAACGGGAAGAGAGGGCGCCGCCCGGCGCTGCGCCGCTGGCCAGGACCGCTCGAAACCACTGCGCACTTGAATGACCCTCGTCAGTTGGCACGGGGCCGCGCACGATGAGGCGATATTGATGCTCGGCACGAGGCTCGAAGCGGCGACATGGATGCTCGGCGCCGGGCTCTCGTCGATATGGGAGCTCTGAACAAATCGCAAAGTGATCCGCATGGCGGCTAGCCACGCAAGAAAAAGCAGCAGGCATGGATGGCGGCTCGACCCTGGGCACGGCGGCGACAATGTCATTGGAATGGCGGACATGCATGATGACCGCGCGCGCGACGGCGCGCAGGATCGCGGGCAGCCCGATGCGCCTAGGAGCGAAATTGACGCGGGCAGGGTCGTAGACTTCCTGGAGCATGATCATGAACTTGCGTTTCATGTACTTGGCGGCGGCTTGCTTGCAGGTGTAGTGACCGCCATTGTAGCACATGCGGGCGCGCGCGCCCCCTGCGAGGACGGTGGTCGGCTCCGCATCGGCATCGCACTGCCGAGGAGCACGGCGAAGGTCAGGCGAACCAGGTGGCTGACCCCGCTTCGGCAAGGAGCGCCTGGAAGGAAGCGAGGAGACTGCCTCGGTCGATGGACTGGCACTACGGATTGTCGAAGGCTCGACCGCTCCAGTGGAGGATGGATGGGTCGGCCTGGCCTCGGACGATGATGATTTTGACGACGGGCATGGAGTCGCCGTGGATATCCCCCTTGGCGCGAAATGCTCTCCACCGTTGGCGAGGGCAGCGCCGCTGCAAGAGCTGCAGGAGCTTCTTGGACTGGACCTCTGTTCTGATCTGCTTGGGGTACTTGCCAGGGTTGATGTAGATGTCAACTGCCTGGCCCGTGGTGCCAGTCGAGGCAAATCGCTTCCATTGACCAGCTGCATTGCACATTGCGAGCGAGAGGGCCAGCGCACGGGGCACTGCAACAGAATTGCCCCCTTTAACTTGTAGGGCGAAGCGGCGGGCAGGTTCACCGTCTCCGAGTAGTTCCACATGATGTCACTGAAGGTTGGCCTCTGCAATCCATTCCTGGAAGTCGTTGAGCACCACGTTCGGCGCCAGGAGACGCTGGCAGCCCACGACGAAGAGCGTCGGACCAGGCTGGCGGTCCCATTCGGCAAGGCGGTTAAGGTCCGCGATCGGTGTTTGTGCTGCGGCGAGGGCAAGTGCGTCGCGCATCTGGTGGATATGTTGCCACATTCGCGGCTGGTCTGACGCTTGGCGATCTTGTCCTCTACGAGCGCGAGCGACTTCGTCATGGAATACATCCATTCGGCGCTCCGTAGCGGTGACTTGTTGTTGGGCGACAAGGCGGGATCCTTCACGAAATTCAGCGAGGAACTGGTCAGCTTGTTCTTGACATCGAGATGCGGCAGTGGCGACTTGGCGTTGCATAAGTTCCCGTAGAGCGACGTCAAGATCTTCGGGCATCCCAGGTAGAAGCCCATGTCGTTCAGGGTGTGCAGGGTGTGGTTCTTGTTATGATCCAGGCGTGGCGTGTCCAGTGACTGGAGTGGCTGGTGCCGCAGCGGGTTGAGAAACGAAAGTGGGGGCCATTTCGATATCACGTGCGAGGTGTTCGGCGGCTGCGGGCCCAAGCTGCTGCTCAATTAACTTAGAATTGGCCCAGGGGTCAGCGGCGCCCTGAAGGGAATCATATACAGCAGGACCATGTGGTGCCTCTCGGTCTCTTCCATGGCCACGGCGGGGGCTTCGGGCGCAGCACTTCCACCTGATCTGGCTGATCTGCGGGTCGGGGATGGTGGCGGGCGTGCAGTGTCCCGTCCTGCTGCTCGAGGTTGCTGCTGTGGAGCACCTGCAGGGCCTTGACAACTGGCGCCTGTGTTGCCACGGTGTTCCAGGAGTTCGCGCGCAGCGCGTCGGCCATCTCGGCGGGGTTCATCTCGGCGGGGGTCATCTTGGCGGCGATCTTCACGGCGGGGATATTCGCGGCCATGGTGGCGGTCGTCACGACGACGGCGGGATGTGGAGCCGTTGGAGGCGTCGTCCCTATCAGAGGAGGCGGCAGACATGATGTAGTAGTACACGCAGGCGGGGTAAGGATGCTGTTCAGGATGTCGCCACTGGCCAGGTCCGCTGTTGTACCACTGCGTACTTCTGTTGCGAGGCACGATGCAGCACACGGCAACGCACTATGGATGCACGGCGTAGAACTCGGCGAGACGATTGGGATGCTTGGCGCGAGGCTCGAAGCGATATGGAAGCTCGGGACAAAGCTCGAGGCGATATGTATGGCGGCCTGCAACGCCAGAATGGAGAGCAGGAGTGGACGGCAGCTCGTCCCTGAGTGTGACTGCCAAACTGTTGTGACTGGCCGCGGACTAGCGGTATCCACGCTGCGCTCGCGGTGGCGTGCCATCTTGAGCCAAAATGGCTACGGAAGGAGGAGAAGGAGGAAGAGGAGGAGCAGGAGGAGGACGGCGAGGAGGCGGGCCGGAGACGAGGACGGCGGGAAAACGATGAGCGGGAGGGGCCCGTCCTCCTCCTCTTCGTCCTCCTCCTCCTCCTCCTCCTCCTCCTCCTCCTCCTCCTCCTCCTCCCCCTCCTCCTTCTCCTCCTCCTCCTCCTTGCTTCTTTCCTCCTTACTCCTTCCCCCATGCGTTCCCCCCTCCCCGATGCTCCGCCCGCGGCGGAGGGTGCTCGGCGGGCCTCGCATCCTCGCCCCGCGCTCCGCGCCGGCGCCGAAGAGGAAGTGCGACCAGGCACCAGGTGCGCCGCACACGTCCACGGGGGGGGAGCCGACAGAGCCGGGCCTCTGGGAAGAGCAGCGGTCCAGGACGAGGAACCAAACCCCGGGAGCCTCAGGGCCCCTCCCCACCCAGTCCCCCTGACGTTGACCCACTGTTTTCCTGGCGACGACTGAGCTTTCGGGCGGCCGCTCGGAACGATCCGGGCGCCCACGGAACGCTCCCAGAGAAGCGCAGCCGCTGGAAGGCATCCCGCGGCTGGAAATCCGCCGAGAACCAACGACAGCTAAAGAACATCTCGAGCTTCGAGCCTATCTCCTCGCGCCGCGCCCCCCAGGCGCGCCGCGAAGCCCCAGGGGAAGGGGAGGAGGAGGAGGAGGAGGAGGAGGAGGAGGAGGAGGAGGAGGAGGAGGAGGAGGAGGAAGGGGGGGGGGAGGATGAGGAGGAGGGGAAGAAGGAGGAGGAGGAGGAGAGACCAATCTCCCCCACGAGCATCTGCCCCCTTAGCGCTGCCCCTGATCCCCTCGCCGACCCTTTCGGCCCTCACTCAGGAGCTCGGGTCGTCCCCATGGCGCCCAATAGCGCGCCGAATCTCGCGCAGAGCGGACACAATGCATCTCCCCCACACGGCGATATTGGGCGCTATTGGTCGCTGCTGGGAGCTACTTGAGCTTTATTCGGCGCGACTGGGCACTAGTCGGCGCTGTTGAGCGCTACAGCCATCTTGCTAGTTACTATAAGGAACGCTGCATGAGGCACGAAAATGCTGCTCTCACCACGGCGAGCCTCGGCAACGAATGGGCTCCACGACCTAGCTCGAAGGAACGGCCCGAAAAGCAGAGCCCCTCCAGAGCCCTTCGTGGCCCTTGCTTCAGCGCCTCGACCGCACCCGCTGTACCATCGATCCAAGACGAGCGGAGGCTTCCGTAACTTGCTGTCTCTCGGGGGCGCGCTAACATGGATTAGCGATCCGTGGATTTGGCGCGCGGTCGCCAATGGATCGGGGCAGGTGCCCTCCCCAGAATGCGGCCAGTGCCGCCTCGTTCGGCGGCGGAAACCCGCCATCTTGTGGAAACGGGACCCCTCGCTAATCCACGCCCCCTTGATCCCCTTTTGCGATCTCCTGGGTAACTGGCTGTCTCATGTGGGGCGCTCGTCGGCTCCCCACGATGAAGCACGTCTCCTCTTCCTCCGCGCGCAGCGCGCCGTCCTGTCCCAAGGGGTATCTCGGGCGTGACGGCGGCGCGGGCACGACGGGCCCACGCCGCCGACGAGACGCTCGGCGATGCTCGGAGGGTGCGCTGGCGCCCACGTCTCGGTGGCATCTCGCGGGGGCCTCCCATGCCATACTGCTGATTCTTCCAAATCGGCGCTAACGGACGCGAATCGACGCTAGCAGACGCTAAGTGGACGCGAAGGCGACGCTGATCGACGCCAAATCGGCGCGTTCTCATCGACTACCAGGCGCTATCGCAGGATAGCGCGCTCTAAATACGGAGGTACGAGGACACACGAGGCTCCCATGACTTGCTACTCAGTCTAAGCGTGTGCTCGTCCGATACGAACTCCGGATTTTATCAGCGAAACCGACGGGGGGCTGCACAGTCATACAGTCAGCCCGTAGAATAAGGACGCGCGATAAGGATGCAAGGGCCTTGAAAGGCCATGTCGACACCTTGCTGGCGGGGCGCGGCCAGCGAAAGTACCATGATTGGCCGAAGGGGAAGGATGCAGGGGGAACCTTGGGAAGGTTGCTCATGCTTACTACGCGGGTTGACTGTACTGGAAACGCCAACCTCGAACGACCAGTGCAGAATTCACAAATCGACTTGTGTGGGTGGACATCCCCTCGACGCCCGAACAACGGGGGCTGACACAGGCTGCGCGCTATCGGCGGAGCCGAAGTGGGTACACCTACAGAATCGGGCTAAACACACGTCCTGAGACTCATCGAAACTACGAAGTCGGGATGAGGATAAGCTCGGGCGAGGAGGAATCGGGACTCTCTGTGAGCTGTGGCGGGTCTGGCGGACATACCCAGCGCCGCGGCCGTTCCAGAGCGCTGCGGAACGATTTGGGAGCGTTCAGGAACGCCCCGGAGCGACGTATCCTCGTCCTCCGTCCTAGGCCTGCCTGGGCGACGACGTCCGCCTGGTCTCTGAAACCGCGTGGGCTGGGTGGCTCGGGAGAATCCTGGACGACAGGTGGCGTTCCGATAGAGCGAAGGTCGCCTGACGTCGGCCCAGTGTGCACCACCTGGCGGCGTTCGGCATCGAGCGCGCGCGCCCACCGGCACGAGGCCTGCCGCGGGCGTGGATGAGGCCGAGCAGGACGAGGCACAGGAAGAGGCGGAGGGAATGGAATCTGAGGCGGAGGGCAGGGAGGTGGGGTCGGAGGGTCCCAAGGGCCTCTGGACCGTCAAACGGATACTCTGGAACGAGAGGAGGAGGGAAGAGGATCTCTTCCCTTGTCCCTTCCCTCTGTATCCTCATCCCATGCCTCCTCCCTAACGTTTCCATCCTTCCCATCGGTCTCCGTCTCAGCCTCAGCCGAACACGGCGCATAGCCTTGATCCGTTCCCTGATGTTTGCCAAGACAGCAATGGAAGTCTGCGCCCCCCTCTTCTTCAAGAAGACGAAACCAGCCACCCGACGAGGTGTGTTTTCGATGAGCGGCCCCCGAGGTCCCGACCTTTCTCTTCCCCAGGGACACTCAGTCGTCTCAGATCCATGTGCGATGGTCCTGAGACCCTAAGTTAGAGGGCCCCGGAGACAAAGACCGAAGAAGAAACATATCGTCGCAGCAGGGCAATGATTGGAAAATCAGATCGTCGCAACATGAGGACGAGGGCCGCGCGTGCCATGGAGAAGGGCCGCTGAAGCCCCCAGCCCAGCCGCCCGCGGTCCAGCCCGCCCACCGCGTCCACGATCTCCTCGCCAGGGTGCGGGGGAGGGTACGTAGAGGCCTCCTGGATGGGTCGGCGTCGATGGGGCCGGAGTATCGCGCACCGATGCATCGGCGATGCGTTGGCGACGTCGGCAATGCATCGGCGACGCCGGCGTGGAGAAAATCGGGGTACACATGGAGCCGCAGCGGCGATGCGGCGCGATTCACCGACCCCATGTACTCGGACCCCATCTAGGAGGCCCAATGTACAGACAGCGTGCTACCACAAGGGACGCTGGGTCAGGAACGGGAAGGTTTTTTCTTGTCACGGCGAGCTTCGGCCACAAATAGATTCCCGAAATCAATGTCAGGAGCGGCCCGGAAACCAGTCCTTCCAAAGCACAAGACGATCTATTTCAACGTCTTGACTGTATGGGGGATCGAAGAAAAAACACAAACAACAAATGTTTTATTATGAGCTTATATATATAATACCGGGTGTTTATCCTTGTCGGGCCCCTCGCCGGGGGGCCCGCCCCCGGCTCCCGGGCGCAGTCCGATGGCAGGGGCGGGGGACGTGCTGCAGTGAAACAAAGGGGGCGCGAAATCAGGGAGACGCGATGGCCCCGGCCACGAGATCCACACACACACACACACACGCAAACTTTGTTCGGTCGCAGCTTCGCACGCAGCGACGGGGCGGAGTAAGTCGGAGACCGGCGGGAGCGGGCGCGCGCGGCCGACGCACGCGCCCACACAGACACGCACGCGCGCACACAACTTGTCCCCACCCCCCGCCTGGACGCCCCCGAAAAGAACGACAAATTCTGCGCGTTCCAGGCGTTGTCTTGGGCTTTCCTGGGCGTCCCCGTCGCCCTGGCCAGACCCGCCTCGAAATCCCGGTCCGGCCGCGCCCAGGTTAAGGTCCAGGGGCCGACGTCGAAGGAAAGAGGGGTCTCGAGGAAAGGATGGATTAATGACAGTACCCTCGAGAATGACGACGGAAAAGAAGGCGTTCCGCATGGACACTGAATGAAATTGGCGGGGAGCACCGTGGCTGATCCTCTAGCTGCGCGACTGTGACAGCCCTCTTTGGAGCAATTACTTTCAGATTATATCTGATCGGTTGGAGGAAAATATCTATATACATTTTATGCATATCTATATCTATATATATAGACATGTAAAGAAGAAGAAAAAATCAGAAACAAAAACTATGCGATCCAGGTTTGGGGGATGTTGCGTTCGCTTCCCCGCCGGGACAGGAAATTCGAAACATCCCTGAACATCTGTTGTGTTGAACATTCTCCTGCAAGCCCGACCCTTTCCTCACGGCTGGCTTTTCATCTACCTCCGTTTTGTGCCGGTCCGGGGACCGGCGAGGGCCCCCAGAAGCCGAACACTACAAAACGCCTTCCGCCTGGCTTTTGACTCACATCGCTGGACACCTGGATCCGATGAGCCCCCTCAAGCCGCCGAAAATCCCTAAGACGAGAAACGTTTATTTTTGACTGGCGGACAAAGAGCGAAACGGCACCGCCGCCGTCGCCCCAGCACAGTGCCGATTTAGTCGGGCACCTTTGGCAGCTGCGCGACGCGACGCGCAGCAAAGGAAGCGAATTCTGCCTGGCCGCCCCCAGCGCATCGCAGGTTCCCGAGGAGGAACAGGGGCCTGCCCGCGCGCTGGCAAGCGAACCTGCCACCCTGGGCACGCTCCGCCCAGCAAGGCCCGACGACAACAGCATGACAGCCCCACCGCTGCCTCCCCTGGGGATGCCCCAGATCGTCTGAGTGCGAAGCGCCGCCGCGTGCCCCAGGAGCGCCACGGCTCTCGAGAGCCAGGCCCTCCCTCAACGAGAGAAGTGGGCGCACGACTGCACTGCCTCCGCCGAGACTCGTAGAAGACCCCAGAGCCCCCTGGGATGCTTGATACCGCCCTCCTAGAACCAGCTAGGATCTCGCTGAAATCGGCGTCCTGCTTCTGCTCCTCCACCTCCCTCCACCTCCCTGATTCTCCCTCCTTCCTCCTACTCCTCCCTCCCCCCTCCCCCCGTTCCAATCTTTGAGGTTCCTGAGAACCCCCCTCCCTCCTCGCTGCTCTTCTCCTGACCCTACTCCGCCCTCCTCCAACTCCCCCTGACGCCTTACGTTGGCGTAATTTGTCGAGTCCGTCTGGTGCGCCAAATGGTCGCCCTGCTTGCTCACGCAGGTCCACTGGTAATTTCGAACATCCTCATCACTCAGACACCCCGACGTCGTGACTTTTGTTCACTTGTCCCTGGACACCGACAATCTTTCGCCTGGGACCAGCATCTCATCCTAAGCCATTCTGTTGACGGCCCCGCGGCCACGTCTACAGAGGCCCGCAGGAATTCGAAAAAAGCTCCCCCTCCCCTCAAATTCCGCAGTGACCTGTTAAGACGCGAGGAGGCGATATTAGATTGCCTCGTCAAGCTTTCGAAGGTCCGCGCGGATTTCTTGGGTCGGCGATGGATCCCACAACATGGCGAGCCCAGCGCGGCAGGGGCGGCGCCGGAAGCACCGTTCTACCTTTGGAACGTTTCTGATTATACCATGCTTTCTTTTTCGGCCATCCTCGAGATTATGAATCCACACATCCTGAGTGGGGTTATTGTTTTCTCTGGGCACCCCCGCGCAGTACAATACCTACCCCCTCTGTCCTCATCCCCTCCTTGCTCACTCAGAACCACCATCACACCATCATCACAACCACCACCACCATCATCATCACCATCACCATAATCATCATAATCGGCGTCATCATCATCATCATCATCATCATCATCAGCATCATCATCATCATCATCATCATCATCATCAGCATCATCATCACCATCATCATCAGCATTATCACAATCATCCTCTGTATCACCATCACCATCATCATCCTCATCAGCATCATCATTCCCATTTTTCATCCTCACCATCATCAGCAGCAGCAGCACCGCCACCACCAGCATCAGGCACACTCACACACTCACACGCTCACTCAAACAGTCATCTTGACGAAATCTCGAGCAAGAGCCTGGTTTTGCGAGAGGAAGTCTCGAGCGGGAACCGTTCCCTATGGGGTCCCCTCCTCCATGGTCGGATCCGAGCGGGGTCACCCAAACCTTGTAACTGTCGTCACGCTTGGGCTCCTCAGGCTTGAATACGGAGGAATTCTCTAGCGGAAACCCCGTTCGTAAGCGAGTCGCGAGGACGTCTCCAGCGGGAACCCTTCCCTATGGGGCCCCCACCTGACTGATCAGACGGGCCATCCAAACCGTCAAACTGTCGTCAATTTTGAATTCCTCAAGCCTGTTTCTGAAGGAAATCTCAAGCGGGAGCCCGGTTTGTGACTCGCGAGGACGTCTCGGGTGGGAGCCCTCTCCCTATGGGGTCGCCGCCCCCATGTTCGAATCCGAACAGGCCATCAAGACCCAGACGGGGCGCACGGGTTTCACAAATCCCCCAAGTCCAACAAGCCGAACAAGACTCACAAGGCCCACGGTTCCAAAAACTCGCACAAACCCATCAGGTCCACACGGCCAACCGGTCCCAAAGGCCCCACAGGTCCCACAGGTCTCACAACTCGCAGAAGTCGCACAAGTTCCACCAGTCCCCCACTGGTCGCACAGGTCCCAAAAGCCGCAAAGGTGCTACAGGCCCCACACGTCCCACAGGCCCCACACGTCCTACGGGCCCCGCAGGTCTCAAAGACCCCACACGTCCGAATGTCAGCTTGAGATTAAGAAATCCGTGGGGGGCACGCGATTGCAAAAAAAAATTCCCTGCTCGGGCGAATCGCGGGGTGGCGCACGCCCAGCCGCCAGCGGAAAAGCGACTGACAGCACAGACTGGGGGGGGGAGGGGGGGGGAGGCAGAGGCGGCAGAAACAGGCACCGTGAGCCAAGGCAATACCTGTTCGAAATGAAGAAGAACTGCTGCCGGCGATCGCCCCGCACTTTCCGTGCTCTGTTGTGTCGAACCGATGCGTTTCCTTTGTCCTGGCCGCAGCCATGGGGGCGCCAGCTGCCTCGCGAGCCCGCGAGCAAGGCGGGCTGGACGAAAGGGAGGCGTGGTCAAGCGGGGATTTGCCCCGCAGCTCACATTGCTGATTTTCCGAACGCCCCCTGGCGCCGAAAGCGGCCATACATCGAGGACTGGCCCCTCGGCGGGGCGACCGAAACCAGCTGCGCGCAGCAGGTTTCGCAACCACCCCTTTCCTTCCCCAGTCTTTCGCCCGACCCGAGCAAGACGGGCAGTCGTCACCCTCCCCTTCTGTCGTGGTCTCCGTAGTCGTCGGCGACGACGACGACGACGACAGACGACACCGACGACGACGACGATGACGACGACGACGACGACGAAGACGAGGACGAGGACGAGGAAGAGGAAGAGGACGAGGACGATGACGAGGAGGACGAAGACGAGGACGAGGACGAGCGAGAAAGACGAGGACGAAAACGAGGACGAGGACGAGGACGAGGACGAGGACGAGGACGAGGACGACGGAAGGCGGACGGCGACGGCGGCGACGACGACGACGACGACGCACTGCGGATGCCCTATGGGGAGTTGCGCAGGCCCGCGGTAGACGCCGACGACGACGACGACGACGACGACGACGACGACGACGACGACGACGATGACGACGGCGGCGGCGGTGGCGGTGGCGGCGGCGGCGGCGGCGGCGGCGGCGACGACGACGACGACGACGACGCGACGACGACGCACTGCGGATGCCCTATGGGGGGGGGCTGCGCAGGCCCGCTGTACTCGACGACGACGACGACGACGACGACGACGACGACGACGACGAAGACAACGACGACGAAGACGACAACGACGACGAAGACGACAACGACGACGACGACGGCAGCCTGAGAGGAGGAAGCAATTCGCCTCGTATGAGTACGACCCCTATAACAACTTCTATACGAAAGGCAATCGTTTTGAAGCGGTCAAGAAGGGGGTAACGATCCCCTCGGCGGCGCCAGCGACGACCCCATGGCGCGCGTGATTAAAAAATGTGTCGCACCCCGCGGGGTATATTTATCAGCCCTGGGGGGGGGTAGCCATTTGTTAACCACAAGCTGACACTACAGGGTTCGCAAGTCCCACAGGTCCCACAGGTCCGACAAACCCTGGAGGCCGCACAGATTTTACGGGCTCCACAAGTCTCACAGGGCCCCCAGGCCCCACAGGTCCCACAAATTCCAGGGGTCCCCCACAGGTCCCACAAGTCTCAAAGGTCCCACATGCCCCACAGGTCGCACGGGCCCCGCAGGTCGCACAAGTCGCACAGGTCCCGCAGCTCTCGCAAGCCCGGCAAATCTCAGAAGCCCCACGGGCCCCACAAGTCTCAACGGCCTCACAGGTCGCATCCTGGTATCCTGGCATCGATCCTCACCATCGCTGGTCGTCGGTGATGATGAATAACTCGCATGGGCACTAAGCAAATTCTCATGCGGAATTCATCCGTTGGAACAATTGCTATGACTCCCGGTGCTGGTCGCTACCCGGGAGGGGCGGAACGCTTTGGCGGGGTGGAGCACGTCGGGGAGGGGGTGCGCTGCGACCGTCGTCGCAGTATGCCCGCGAGCAGCAGCGAGCGGGGGGCGGGCGGTTCCCCCCCCTGCACGTACGATCGTTAGGGGGGGCCCGCTTACACTGACACCCGACGTCAGGACTTCTCACGACGTCTAGACCCCTGACGTCAAGACTTCTTCACGATGTCGACCCTCCGAGCTCCCGACACATTCCCCGTAACTGGTTTTTCATCCTGAACCGCTTTTTGACGGCCCTGAGGCCCGGTAAGGGACCCCAGAGGCCGACGTGATTTTTTCATACTCGAAGGGGTCTGGGTATGCCGTGCCCTCTCTCGACCATCCTCACCTGCGCCCTGCCGCCCCCCGCAGTCCTTCAGCTTCTCGCCCGCGCGGTTTCCCAGGCTCTGCCCGGCGCCCCTACGGGGCGCCGACGGGTAGAGCTGGAGAGTTCGTTGCTGCGGTCCCATTGGCGGCGAAGCAAGGAGGGAGGCGAGAAGGAGAGAGCGAGGTGCTTTCAGACGCTGCGAGCACGAGCCCTCTGCGGCGGAGGCAATACCGGTCAACACCGAATCGCAAGTCGGCTTGGATTGGAACGTCAGTCGGATCGGGCCGCACCGGCACGGAGTCGAAATCGAATCTGAACGGCGGCGCCATGATGCACAACAGCGCCACGGAAACACCTGGTCGCATCGGATCGTCGGCACATCGGAGTCGACCGGATCGGACGCAACCTGTAGGCGAAGCAAGCCTGTACTCGGTCCAAGGCCAACCCGAACACCGACCAGCCTGGTGCAGAAACCAGACTGACTGGACCAGCGCCGCCGCAGAACCGGCCCGACAAGCCCGGCAAGCCTGGCATTGCCGCCGCCCCGCTCTGCAAACGCCCCTGGGGCTCACCAGACACAGGGCCCGACCGACCGACGATGTCGACAATCGGCAGACTGACCAGCCTGGACGGGCCTGACTACACCGCAACGACGGAGACCGGACCGACGGGCCTGGGAAGAGGAGCGCAGCGCGGGGAAATAGGCCTGGCCTGCTCCCTCGCCCTCCTGTAGAGGTCGCCCCGGCCCGAGTCGAAGAGGCCGTCGAGCCGCGTCTTCTGGGCCCAGAGCCGCTCGATGTCCTGCCAGCCTCCCCGATTCTGCCCGCCACCACGCCCCCCACCTAGACCTCCTGTGACTGGATGTGCATGCACCTTCTCGCACGCTAAAAGGCACCCACCTAGCCCAGAGAGGGCTAGATCGGTGCACGTGAGCAGTGAGCTGGGCCCTGGGCAGATCTCCTGGCAGCGTGAAAAGGAAACAATGTAGGGAACGAGCTGAGAACATTATGTGGACAGTCGACTACCCACTGGAGAGACAGAAACAATTGAGGGAGCACCCTGTGAAAACTGTATGCGATCACAATACGTTCGATTCCCACAGGCTGAGGGTCACTATCCAAACAGAATGCCGTCTCGATACGAATAGGGATAACAGCATATCTGTGTATAAACCTCTGTACTTAGAGATGAATACTTATACGACCACCCTGCGGGTGACAAGGAGGTGGTTGGACGGGAGGGATATGTCTGGTCATCATCCATCACTCGGGGCATACATCAAAAAACAGATTGGCAACCAACTGAACCAGGTGGCTTGTACTAGCCCGGGCACCCTTCTGCTTAAGAAAACAAACTGGGAACATACAAAGCCGCAGTACACAACGAGACTCCATGGGACACCACGGGACATCGCGATCGATTACACTATCGATCTCCCTCTATCTAATGATCTCACCTCTATCGGCCTCATCGTCGATCTCACGTTCGATCTCACCATCGCTCTCACAATACATCCCACTCTCGATCTCGCTCGATCTCATAGTCAGTATCAGCCATGCTTGCAGTTAAGATATTGACTACACGATCGATATAACCCTTATTCGACCTATCGATCTCACTACCGATCTCACTCTATGTATCGGTCGCACTTTCTATCGATCTCAAAATCGGCCGAACTATCGATCTCACTATCGATCTGACCATCGACGTGTCTATCGCTCTCACTATCTGTCGCACTACCAGTACATCGATCGCACGATGTCACCATCGATCTCAACATCGATCTCACTATCGACGTTTACGGGACACCACAAGACAACACGGGACACCGCGCCACGGGACACGACGGGACACCGCGGAATACCACGGGACACCGGCGGGACACCCATGGGCCACCGCTGGCCAACCAGCGGGGGGAGAAACAGTGAGCCTGGTTTCGTCCTAGCAAGGGCACTATTATCCTTCTCGCCCGCCCCGCGCCGCCCACGCAGCTTCGCCTCGCCCGCACGCACGGCACACAACCGAAACCGATGTTCTGGTGGGGGGCTCTCTTTTTCGCTGCGACCTCACCCCCAGACCTCCGACATATACATTTGTTTGTGTGTATATTGATGTGTGTATGTGTATGTGAATATGTATGCATACATACATACATACATACATACATACATACATACATACATACATACATGCATGCATACATACATACATACATTACATACATACATACATTACATACATTACATACATACATACATACATACATACATACATACATACATACATACATACATACATGCATGCATACATACATACATACATACATACATACATACATGCATACATACATACATACATACATGCATGCATGCATGCATGCATGCATGCATGCATGCATACATACATACATACATACATATAAACATACATGCATGCATACATACATACATGCATACATACATATATACATACATACATACATACATACATATATACATACATACATATATACAAACATACATACATACATACATACATACGTACATGCATACATACATAAATACATACATGCATACATACATACATACATACACACATACATACATACACACATACATTACATACGTACATACATACATACATACATACATACATGCATGCATGCATACATGCATACATACATACATACATACATACATCATATACATACATACATACATACATACATACATACATACATACATACATACATACATACATACATACATACATACCATACATACATACATACATACATACATACATACATACATACATACATACATACATACATACATACATACATACATACATACATACATACATACATACATACATACATACATGCATGCATACATGCATGCATGCATGCATGCATGCATGCATACATACATACATACATACACGCGTATGAGCGGGCGCTTCTCGTCGGTGGGCCCTCCCAGGGCACGGGGCCGTCAGAAAGCGGCTCGGGGTGAAAGGCTGGCCCCGGGGAGGGAGAAAGACTTCTGGAGAACGATAGGAAACAACATTTACTGTTTTACGTGTGGGGATATCCTGGCGTCGCGACTCTTGTGTCACACCTGGGGGGTCCGCGCAGATTCGGGCCCCCGAGTCGACCCTTGCGAGTCGATCCGCCTCGAAAAATGCCGCGTGCGAAGAGAAGGATTATAGGGTCTCGCTCGTGATTTGCCACAGCGCTGGAGTTTCTTTTCGCGACGTCGGATCTCAATGGCGTGCTGACCCGACCTCCCAGTCGGATGCTGCGAAAGGTGCCCCTGGTTCAAGGTGCCCCCAGCTTTTCGCACCGTTTTGGAGCCCCTGGGGCCCTCTGGGCCTCGTGAAGGGTTTTCTGGAGGCCGTGGGGGCCTCCTTGGAAATCCCTGGGGCACCTTGGGCCAGGGGCACTTCTGGCAAAACCCGACCTAGCCATGCTGCGATGTGATCTTTTCAATTTGGCCCACGGGCTCCCGACCCGACCCTCCCCGTGGCGAAATTGCCATCCCGGATCCAACCCTGATAGCCCTCGGCCCCGCAATCGCGGAGACCGAAGCCGAGGAGAAACGTCGGGATGGAACTCAACCAAGCCTTCGGGCACAGGTCCCGCACATCTGCTCTTCTCCAGTGCGCGGCCCCAGAGGTCCCGACCCCTCCCCCGGAGGCAGCTTCTGATGACCCCAGGGCACGACAACGGGCCCGAGGCGCCGAGAACCAGGGAGCACGCCTGCAACGAAAGAACCAGTCGACACTCGTCAGATGCTGGGCGCCCGAGGCCGCTCGCGCCGAATGCCATATCTTCGAGCCGCTCTTCGACGGCCGCAAACGCCGAGACTGGAACAATCGGATCATCGAATATCTGGGCCACGTTTGGCATGAAGGAAACGGGTCCCGAAGGAAACGGGTCCTTGACCTCGGCCGGAACGGGTCCCGACAGAAGCGAGCCCTGGACCTCGGCCGGCCTTCCCACGGGACCGCTTCCTTGTCCCGCGTCGTTTTCCGGCAGTCCCGTAGCCCGTAGAGGGCACCAGGAGCCCGAAGACAGTGGAAAAGCCTCGGGGCCAGTTTCCCTCAGCACCCTTTCCCTCAACGCGTCGCCGATACATCGGCGATGTATCGTCGACGGCGCGATGCATCGGCGCCGTCGGCACGAGGAAAATCGGACTCCACATCATGCCGCATCGCCGATACATCTGCGATTCGGCGCGATCCAGCGATCCTGCCTACTCGGGTCCCATTTTGGAGGCCTGGATTCCTTAACGGCGGCGCGTGGGCCGAACGCCGCCCTCCTTCGGGCAATAGCGGGTTCCCTCAACACCCGGTTGCTTCATCAAATAATCAGGGGAAACAGAGAGGCACCGATGCCGCTGCTCCCCAGACCTCTCCTGGGGTGCGTTCTGTGATCAGACATTCGAGGCGAATCCAGCGGTGGCGACGAGGGCCTCCCAGGAGGCCCGACGAACCTGACAAAAGGCGAGAGCGAGGGAAGGGAGGTAGCCGCTGCGGCGTCGGCGCCTCTTGTTTTGCTGTTGCTCCTCTGGATCTCTCGGTCGCGTGCGCCCTGGCCGTGCTTTGGGGGCGCGCACAGGGGGGGCAGGGTGAGGGAGGAAGCCTTCTTAGAAGGAGGCTGCTCCTGAGAAGGCGGCGGCCGCACGTCTGCAGCTACGCCCCGCGCCCTCTAAGAAGCAGGGGCGCCTCTGAGAAGCCTTCCCCCCCCCCCACCCCTCCCCCTCTGCGCGTGGCTGAGTCCTCCTTCGGGCAGTAGCCGGCGTCCAGCATTCGCCCCGGGTCCGCCACGGGGCCCGAGGCGATGGGCGGGGGCGGCTCGCCTGCCGTGGCGGCGGAGGTCGCGGGGAGGCGCCGGCCCAGGCCTCCGCCGCCGCCCCTCTGCCCAGTCCCTGGAGGGGCGTCCGCTCCCCCCGTCGCCTCGTCGTGCGTTCGACCTCGTTCTGCTCGCGTCCTCTGGTGTCCTTTCCATGGGAGCCTGCGTGGCCCCTGGCGCTGTCCGATTTGGGCCTGCTTTGGACTGCATTTGGACCAGAATTGGACGAGCTTCGCCCCTTCACAACATGGGAGACGACAAGAACAAGACGGAGGAGGAGGAGGAGGAGGAGGAGGAGGAGGAGGAGGAGAAATAGGAAGGACGAGGAGGAGCAGGAGGAGGAACCAAATGCGGTCCCAGTGCGGTCCAAATGCAGGAAAAGCTGATTTCAATGTCGCCGCCCAAGGCTCCCATGAACAGACATCGAAGCGTCCCCGTCTGGAGGGGGAGGGAGCGGGGACCATGGGCAAGAGCGAACGCGGAAACGCCGCGTCGATCTTGGTCAGCGTCGCGTCAATCCTGTTCGATCCTGGGCGTCACTCTGTCCTGTCTTCCGCAGGGACTGGGAGTCCCAGCATCCCTGTAGGCCTGCCACGACATGTTCTTAGAACAATGCCCTGAAAAGTTGAAATCGATGCACCAACACAAGACTGCCTCAGCCCGATGTTTCCTGAACAGATCGTTCAAACCATACAAGATTCTTGAAACATTACTCGGTGGGCCGATAGGCAGGTCAGGACGCTTTACCACTGCTTGACTGTCGCCTCGTCGCTCGTTCGCCTTTGTGTGGTGGTGTCCTCGACGTCGTCATCCCCTGAATGTTGTGGGCCAGTGCGGGCTACCGAGATTGTGTTCTCCCCACGTACCCAAAGATGGTGTCATTGTTTCAAAGTGGGACGCGCCAGCCTCACTCACTCACTCAACAGCCTCCCTCCCCATCACATCTCCTCTCCTCCTCTTCTCACCTCTCCGTTACGGTATCACCACAGTCAGTTCATTCATACCCAGACTCACTCACACGAAGACTCACTCATACTCATACCTACTCATACCAAGATTCGCTCACACTCACACTTCCTCACACTCCGATTCAAACATACTCATACATACTCGTACACAAGCTCTAAGCCACTCATACTCACTCAACATCAGACCTACCCACACATAGACGAACTCGCAGTAGGACTCACTCACACATCGGTATAGCAAGCGTAGAATTTGGGCACCCCCAGCGGGAGCCGCCAGGGTGTGTTGCACTCCCCCGTTTGCGCCAAGACTGCGGGCATGTCTCAAAGGGTTTGCTCGATTCGGTGCCGCCGACATTTTTTGTTGGTGGTGCAGTGCTCACCGCGATGTGGCAGGCGAAACATTCGGGCACCCCGAAGGAGAGCAGGGGTTGCTGCACTCCCCCGTTCGCGCCCACGGTGTGGGAATGTCTCAAGCGGTTTGCTTGGTCGGCGTGGCCGACATGCCTCTTTTAGTGCTGCAATGCCCACCGCGACCTAGCAAGCGCGGCACTTGGGCATGCCAAAGGAGAACCGCCAGGGAGTGTTGCACTACCCCGCTCGCGACCATCTTGTGGGCGTGTCTCAAGCGGTTGCTTTTTTTGTTCGGCGCCGCCGACATCTCTCGTCTGCTGCTTCAATGCTCAACGCGATATTGCAAGCGTATCACTCGGGCACCCCGACGGGGAGCCGCCAAGCGGTGGTGTACCCCCGTTCGCGCCCAGCTTACGAGGATGTTAAAAGCGGCTTGCTTGTTTCGGCGCCGCCGACATCTATCTTTTGGTGGCCCAAGATCACCGCGATAAAGCGCGCCCATATTGCGGGCGTGTCTCAATCAGCTTGCTTGTTTCGGAACCGCCGAGATGTACCTTTTGGTGGTCCAATGCCCACCGCGATGAAGCAGGCGTAGCATTTGGGCACCTTAAAAGGGAACTGCCGAGGGGTGTTACACTCCCTTCTTCGGGCCCAGATTGTGGGATATCTCAAGCGGTTTGCTTGATTCGGCGCCGCCGACATGTCTCTTTTGGTGGTCCAACGCCCACCGTGATATAGCAAGCGTGGCTCTTGGCCACCCCACGGGGAGCGGCCAGGGAGTATGGTATTCAATTCTCGGCACTCCAAGAGGCGGCGGATGCGGATGAGGGCTAGGGAGGAAAGGAAGAAAGGGAAGTGGAGGGGGGCGGAGAGGTCGGAAGAGGGACGCGCAGTGGCCCTCTTGCAGCGCTGGGCCCACACGTCGTCGTCGTCTTCGTCGTCTTCGTTGTCGTCGTTTGTTGTACTTTGCCTACGCCCCCCTCATCGCAGGCGCCGTCGTCGTCGTCCCGCCCATTGTCCACTCGGACTCGCTCTCACACCGAGACGCTCACAGCCAGATATTCACAGCGGGTCGTGCCAAAAAATGATTTGCACACATGGGGATCTCCGACTCGAGCAATTTACTATGTTTCTGGTACCGGTCGCTATCCGGAAAGAATTGCTGGGGGTGGGCCCTGGGTAACGGTAACGCTTGGGCGGGGTGGGACCTCCTCTTGGAATGTACGAATTAGTGGTAAGTGCGATGGTGGTCACTGCTGTCTGCACGCGCATTCAGAAGCTATCCAAACAGGCCTAACCACCAGTTCGAAGTCTGAATGGTGGTTTGCGGTTGACGCAAGACCCGCGCCCCACTAACCGCCATTTGGGGATACGAAATGGTGGTTCGGAACTTTGGGTTCGTACTTGGACGATTCAGACAGCTTTTGCACACTGGCTCAACCACCAACGCCCCAGCCACCATTTCGGAAATTCGAATCGTCATTCGCTCGCCACTCTGTGATCGTGTCCTTGTAGTCGTCGTCCTCCAGATGGTGTGGGCCGGTGTGGGGCTATCCCCGTGCCGACACCCGTTACTGGTTCGCCTTGGCTGAACATGCGACGTTCTGATTTTTCTAATACTGGGTGCCCAGAAATCCCGATCCCTTCCCTGGGGCCAGATTTTCGTCGCGAATCGCATTTGGACGCTCCCGGTGCCTGGTAAGGGCCCCAGGAGGCCGAGAACTGCCTGAAACCGTCCTGATTTTTACACGACGCTAGCTAGGTTGGTCCTGGCCTACGCGGCCCTCTGATCTGCCGCATCTGGTATCTGCCGACTCTGCCTGCCGCCCAACGCCCAGGTCGTGGCGCCGCGCGGCAAGTGGGACGTCGTCTTTGACGGGGTGGGTCGGGTCCATGCGCGTGGGGTGCAGAACCGCGCGCGCCTGTCTCGGCTATGCGCAAGAATGACCCCAGACAAGAGGGACCTCTGGTGCGCGACTTTCGGGCGCCGCGGGGAGGCCAACCCGAGGCGCGCAGGACGCTGCTGCCGCATCGCGCTCGGTCACTCGGGGGCCCCAGCGCGCCCGCACCAAAAAGGTCACTCCGGCGAAAGGTCACTCTTGCGTGCAGCCGACTTTCGCGCACCTTCCGGGGCCCGCGGTGGCAGATTATAGGGGCCATCTGGGGGGTCCTGCAGGGCTCCCTTCCCGCAGGCCTCCTCGAGCTCCCCCCCGCTCACTGCCCCCCCCGTTGCCGCCCGCCCAGGCAGGGAGGAGGAGGAGGAGGAGGAGGAGGAGGAGGAGGAGGAGGAGGAGGAGGAGGGGGAGGAGGAGGCTTCACACCAATGGGGTCTCGCCCTGCTCTTCGGGCTCCCGGGGCCCCCACGGACCGCTCCGGCCGAGGGATGCCGCAAGACTGGGTTTGGCGGTCCGGTCGTGGTGTTTCACGGCATGGCGTTTTTGACTACCTACCAGACCACCCCAACCCAACCCGAAGACCCGAATTTGACCCGAATTTCGGGTTGGGGGGGGTACGGGTTCCATGTGTTTTTTCAGCGTTCCCCGACCCCCCCCCACTGGAAATGGAGGGCAAATTGAGGCCTTCGGGTTGGGTTGGGGTGGTTTGGTAGGTGGTGAGTTTTTCTTTCGCGCAGTGGGACGCGTCGAGTCGTCGCACTCCAAGTAGGCAGGCTGGCTCTCCAAAGAGGAAGCGTCGTCATCCGTCCCACGGCCACTCGTGCTTTCTCCGAGCGTGCGCATCTCCATCGCAGACAGCATTGCACCAAGCGTCAATCCGTTCAGTCCTGACTCGAGCCAGTCCGAAATCCGTTCAATCTCAAGCCTGATTGCAATGTTGAGATGAATCGCTCCTCTGCGTGACTTCCGAAAACGATGCATCCAACGAGAAACCTTCCGGCCCAGGACGGCGAGGCGCATGCACATCATTCAGAACTTTAGTCATCGTTGTCGCGTAAACCACCTTTGCTCCAACTTCCCAGACTCGGGATCTTCTCGAGGCCGCCACCTGCACAGAATGCTGCCAGATATTGGAACGATGTCAAAAATTGGGCTTCCCGTCCAACCTCTCGAATACAAAGGGAACTTTGTGGGCAACAGTACTTGCAGCCAACCGTCACCGGTGTCGATGCCGCTTGCGATGGTCCCCCATTCTGCATAGCGGGCCGAAATGTTATCGCAGGACTTGGCTTCGAGGACCTTGCTGGTGCGGTAACCGAGCCCTTTACTGCCTGATGCGAGCGAACTGTTATCCACCCGCCACTGGTTATCGTTCACTTTCACAAGGACAATCGTTCCATTCAATTCCATTGGTAGATACACATGAACTTCGTTTTTCTTGGTCAACTTGCCTGCTTTCGTTCGTTTGACGATGCCGTTCAGATCCAAATCGACCATAAAAATATCCGAGACCGTGCCGCGAGGCACTGGGTGGAGCGTCGCTGCATGGAAAGAGGTACACGTCCGGGTGTCCTTTGCCCTTCCCAAGAACATTGAATTGAACTGTTTAGTCGTGGCGTCCCCAAGTTCTTTGAAAGTTCCGAAACCCCAATAGAGAGAGCGTGATCCACCGCCGCTTCACTGTGGAAAATTGCCGCCCTTTTCCTCCTGAACCCGGGGGTCCCCCCCCCCCCTCCGAAAATTCCCCCCCCCCCCCCCCCCCCCCCCCCCCCCCCCCCCCCCCCCCCCACCCCCCCCCCCTCCCCCGAGAGCTCGAAAACCGGGGGGGGTCACTACCGGTTCGTACCCCCCCCCCCTCGAAAACCGGAGGGGGGGGTCACGACCGGTTCGAACCGCTGAGCTGTCCCACTGTTCCCACCACTGTCCCCACCACTGTCCCCACTGTACCTCTGTCCCATTGTCCCACCGCCGTCCTCGCCACCGCCTTCACCACTGTCCCCACCACCACTGTACCCTCCACTGTCCTACTGTTTCCACCACATTCCCACTGTCCCCACACCACTGTCCCCACCACCACCGTCCCCACCACTGTCCCACTGTCCCCACTGTTCCCACCATTGTCCTCACCATTGTCCCCACCACTACCGTCCCCACCACTGTCCCACTGTCCCCACCACTGTCCCGCTGTCCCCTCACCACTGTCCCCACCACCACCGTCCCCACCACTGTCCGCACCCCCCCTCGGTTTTCGAGGGAGGCGGGGTGGGGGGGGAGTTCGAACCGGTAGTGAACCCCCCCGGTTTTCGAGCTCGAGGTGGGGGGGGGGGGGTCGAACCGGTAGTGACCCCCCCCCTTTTCATGATGAACTGGGGGAGGGGGAAAAGGGGTTCGAATCGGTAGTGACCCCCCCCGGTTTTCCAGAGGGGGGGGGGAGGGGTTCGAACCGGTAGTGACCCCCCCCGGTTTTCCGCCAGCAGCGGTAGAACACGCTCTTTCCAATATAGAGAATATTGGACACGCTCTCCCGATTCCTTGGGGTGTGCCCAGTGACACTTAGAGCTTGTCGCGGGTTCCCTAGTGACTTCCCCAGAGGCGAGGGAGCGCCAAGACGGGCCAAGAGGGTCCCAAGAGGCTTCCACGACGGTCCAACAGGGCTCCGAACGGCCCAAGAGCGTTGCAAGACGGACCGAAGACAGCCAACGAGGCTCCCTAGACGCCCCAAGAGGCCTCAAGGAGAACCCCAGAGATGGCCCCACCAGGCAAACATGATTGAATGAAAATGTTAGCGACCCTGTCTTTCAGACTTTCAGCGCTCCAAGACGGCCCACGATGCTCCCAATAGTTGTGGCAAGGCGGCCCAGAAGTCCCCCCCCAGAGATGCCCGAAGACGGGCCCAGAGGGCCCTGGGGCCAACATTTACTCTGCACTCGTTTGTCGGTCGCCATCGTTCGTCGTACCCCGCGTCCGTCGCCAGCGCCTGCTACGCCCCGCCCCCCCCCCACCGCCGGCAAACGACGCCAACGACGCCGTCGCCGTCGGTTTTGCCCCGCGCACGCACGCTTGTATACAGACGCGTCGAGAGCTCCGCCAACGACGACGGAGTGCGGAGGGGAATCGCCAAGTGCTAGCACGCCCACTCCATCGGTTCATCTCGCTCAACGTAGGCCAGGGTCCAAACGCACAAGTTTGTGGAGCTGCGTCCAGCCATAGCGAAGAGGAAGACCCTCCCGAAGGCCAAGAGGCCTCGCTCTTCCTCCTTCCTCCTACCACTTCTCCTACTCCTCTCTCCCGCCCCCTCTACCCCTGACATGTTCTTGTTCGCTGACGCGCCCTACCGGCGTGCAGGGTCACAGCGGCTCCTCTGCCTTTCGGATTTCCATGAAAGATCGATGGCTGCGCGACGAAAAGGCAACCTGCGGGGTCGACAAGTCGACGCCGCACGTCGACCGTAAAAAATTGCATGCTGGGGATGGGACGGTCACAGACGGTCCAGCTGAGACAACGGTGACTGACCTGAGATAAGCCTCCTCGTCGCCGCGGCTGGACGCAGCTCGGAAAACTGATGCGTTTGGACAGCGGGAGGGGTCCGCGGACCGATGTTGCGATCCCGCGATTCCATATGTGACCCCGCGATGGCTCCAAGTTGACCCCGACAGGCGACGGACGGCCTCAAGAGGGGCGTACCGATCCCACCTGAGGGTGGAGTCGGAAGTGAGAACAGAGTCTGAACCCAAAGATCCTGGCATGTAGTCCAATAGCTTAGCCAAATGTTGGCCCAACGCGTGGCCACATGGGCGATCCCAACAGGCAGAGGGGCAGCGGTGGTTTGCCGGGGGCGTCTTCGATAAAGCTCCTGCGCTTGCTCGTAGATCGTGAACTTGACTCCCCTTCCACTGTCACCAGCGCAAGCTTGGCACCATGTGCCGACCATGCTTTCGACTTCTCTGCGGCGACTTGTTTCCTCCAACAACAAATCAACGCAATACAGATTCGCAATGTCTTCGACTTCCGCAAGTGGAGCGGAAGGCCTCAGCCTGCGATGCCTGAAGAAGTGAAGCACGTGCTCAAAGACGGTTGCGTCGCAGTCAAGAAAGAGATCGCCGAGCTCAGGCTTGAATGGCCCGCTCAAAATGTTCCGAAAATAAGCCGAACTCCAAGTCAACGTGCTACGCCGCGTACGCAGTCGGGTCCCGCCAGCATCTAGAGTAATTATGGGATCCTCCGCCGCCGAGGAACACCCTGCGTCAGGACACTCGCGTGGACGTTTCGTCGGAGGCTCGCCTTGTTCCCCACGCATCCAGCCAACCGATGTGGGAACTCGAGCAGCGACACCACTCCAAGAGGTGAGCTGGCCGTTGAGCCTAGGAGGCTTGAACAAAATGAGCTACGGGCCCTCCGTTCAAGAAATCTGGTATCATCCAGGACATGAGCACGTGTCTGAAATATCAACCCGTTTTTACTGGTCAGCATTGCATGGCACACAACGTCTGATGCAGAATTGAAACATCCGCCACATCCACTACACTACAGAGCAAATGGCTTTCGGGCATCCTTACTTTCCTAAGCACACACATCGCATAACACGAGCAAATCAAACAAACCACGCCCCAACAATAACCAATGACCGTCTGTAGTTATACTCCTCCTGGCAAGGAGCCCGAACATACGCGGTTACTGTGCAAGAACGAATGGTGGACGCGCCCATTTGGGGCTCCCCATGCGTGATCGGCACGCGGGAGCAAAAAGGGAGGCGCCCGAGGGTGTGCGCCGCTCTAGGCCCACACTAAGCGACTCACAACGAGTCCTTCTGCCTCCGCATCCTCTTTCTTAGGTTTCATCCCCCTTCTCCTTCTCTTGCCTCCTCCGCCACCTCCTTGGGACTCGTGGTGGCACGCCAGTCTTGATCCTGTTCCTCGAACACACCCAACCCCCAAACCCAGCTAGATCATAACCGCCTAGAGCCTCCTCAAGAAACATCGAAGACCTCCAAAACACTCCATCCATATTGACTGTACTCCTTCTTCCATACCCCCTACGTAATCCCTCATCCCCCTGGTTCCTCCCTTCTCTCCATCGGTTTACTCCACCTCCTCGCCCTCGTGTCTTCCTTCATTTGCTCCGACCTCATCAGCCTCCATCATGGGACTGTTCAGGAAGCGATGCGAATTCATGTCCCACGCTAGTACCCTCCCATCTACCTCCTCCCTCCGTCCCTCGCACCCTCCCTCTTCTCCTCTATCCCTCTTCCCTTCCCCCCTCACCTACCCCTCACTCCTCCCCCCCACGCCCACCCCCTCCAACACGAGCTCTTCGAGACATTGCCACTTTCCCACGAGAGTGGGGCCCCCGGGAGGCCCAATTCCTGGGCACCGCCTACGTCTTGACGACATCGATGGTGGTCCTCGATCCTCACTCCAGACCGAGGTTTCGAACGGGACAGGGTGCACCGGGGGAGGGGGTGATTGAACCCCTGAGACGCACGGAGACGAAGCGTTGCAACCTGGGGACGTCACGCCGTTGCGCTGCAACGCGGGGAGGCCACGTTTGCCGCATGGAGACGGGGCGTGCAAAACGAAGCAGCCACCTCTGCAGCAGGGGGGCGCTGCATTTGCAACACGGAGGCCTTGCGCAGCAACGCGGAAGCGTGGCGCCGTTGCGATGTCGAGCGGGGGTTCTGCGTCACTGCGCTGATGGCGCCAGGCCCCGTGGCCCCCCTGTACGCCAGTACGAAAAGGGGGGTCAGCACCAAGGGGGGTCGCTGCCTGCTCGATGAAAGCAAAGGCCTCTCAGGACCCTCCCAGCCCCGTCAGACTGTCCCAAAGCCCGCAAAGGCGTCGATAATTATCCTGGCGAAGGACCCAACCATATGCGGTTGTGAGTAGCGCGTTGTGCGTGCCGCTTGCGGTGGAACTTCCTATAGGGCCACGAAACGCGTGAGGGACATGCCGTAATGGGTGGGGGAGACGCACGCGGGCGGTGCCAATTGGGCATTCGGTGGGGTTCCCTATGGGCCACGAGACGCTGTACTGGGCGTGGCGGACGCAGGCGGGCGGTGCCCTTCGCTGGAACTCCCGATGAGGCCACGAAACGCTGTACTGGTTGGGGGAGACGCACGTGGGCTGTTCCACTGGGGTCTTTCTGTGGAGCTCCCTACGGAGCCACGAAACGCTGTGCGTGCCAAATGGGGGCTTCGGTGGGGCCCACTATGGGGCTACGAAGCGCTGTACTGGGAGGAGGGGGCGCATCCGGGCGGTGCCACCGGGGCCTTGGGTGGAACTCCCCATGGGCCCACGAAACGCTGCACCGGGTGGGGGTCGCATGCGGGCGGACCACTGGAGCTCCCTACGGGGCCACGAAACGTTTTACCGGGTGGGGGGGGCGCATGCGGGCGGTGCCACTGGGGCTCGGTGCAACTCCCAATCAATGGGGCCACGAAATGGAGTACTGGGTGCTGGACGACGCACGCGGGCGGTGCAAATGGGATCTTTTCGTGGAGCTCCCTATGGGCCCACGAAACGGGCGGTCCCATTGGGACCATCGGTAGAGGTCCCTATGGGGCCACGAAACGCTTTACTGGGTGGTGGATGACGCAT